ACATCTACGGGTGTAGGGGTTAGGATTTACAACACATATTTTGGGGGGACAAAATTCAGTTCCTAACAGTGAAGTACAAACCAAAACCAGAATTAGCCATTGTTGCTGTTGTTAAATAAATATGTAAAAATAGCATTGTTACTTAGAGGAAGGCCTTTGTGCAGTAGTGATATTGCACACACTGGTGCCAGTCTCAACATCTATTTAAATTGACTGCAATCCTCTGCTTTATTGATGGTGATAAGCTAACTCCAGCTGTGACAGGGAGGGTTTTTTCTGTCCTCAGGATCAAGGTTTATCTAAAGGTTTTAGCTAGACTATTTAAAGGGGGATGATAGTCAAAATGTTTTCCATAAGTTTGGGAAAGGCACAGAGGTCTTAGAGAAAGACAGATCCTAGGATGAGTGATCCCAAGAGTCAGAAAATCAGGAAAAGGAAAATTTTATGCCAAAGAACCTTTCTTCTACTACCAGCAGAAATGCAGAAGGAGCACTCCACACAGGAAGTGTTAATTTATCTCAATTGTGCAGCAGTCTGTCTATAGCCATACCACCCTAACACCTACTTTAGGTTAACATGCTTGCTCATATTTTGGAAGGCTTTCTCAAAGGAGAAGCAAAGGCTTTTCCTCCAGGACCCTGGGACTTAACAAGACTAAAGAAAGAGACACATCCCTGTCAGTAAGAAACAGAAGTCAGGGAGTAACTAAACCTCACAAAGAACCTCAGCCGGGAAAGCAGAAAAAAATTACAGATTCTGGTCCTTTGATAAGCCACGTCACGGCCCACATCGAGATGAATCACAGGCAAACCCCAATCTTGAATAAGGAATAGAAACTCTACCTCAGCCTGAAAGGACTCTAATGGTACTCTCAATATTGCATGTGCTCCAGCCTTCTTAGTCTTTCCTCTACTGAAGGTAGAGGCCCAGGGGAAGGCAGACCCCTATGGACAGATGCTGGAAGAGGAGAAGTACAATACCAAACTCTAATCCCAGCTGAACAGGTAAAGACAATCTCAAAAAGATGTGAGAGAAATGATGTTTCACGTCGATACCGCCCCAGGGGTCTTGTTAGACTCTGGGGCTGCGAGATAGTTTTAGCAATTTTCTTCCACTGCCTTCAATTAAAATGTCTAAAAGCTTTGCTTTTCTCATTTAAGCCTGTAATCCCACTGGAATAAATTTTTGTGTATATTTTAAAGTCTGTAATACATAAAATTGTATCAGCACTACTTAATGAATAGTCCATATTTCCCTTCTGATCTGCCATGTCACCTATGTCAGATATCATGTTTCATTATTTTCTTTTGTCTATATTTGTGCTATCCATTCTATTCCATTGATTTATCTTTCTCTGCAAAAAACTAAAAATAAAAAACACCATACATATTAACTACTATCTTTTATAATTCAGGAAACCCTGGTGGTGTAGTGGTTAAGAGTTGGGCTGCTAGCCAAAAGGTTGGCAGTTTAATATCCCCCAGGTGCTCCTTGGAAACCCTTTGAGACAGTTCTATTCTGCCCTTTGGAAGCCCTTTGGGGCAGTTCTATTCTGTCCTAGAGGGTCGCTATGAGTTGGGATCGACTCAACGGCAACTGGTTTGTTTTTTTTTTTTTTTTTTTT